AATGTGACACCTTATTTTAAAAAGTATGTGTTCAACACTTAACTACTTACTGAGCCAATAGTTATAGACTGTAAGCTAGGAAAGCTCAGTTCTTTTTGGTTTTTTCTCTTAATTCTTGTACAACAGCGAATCATTGAACCCCTATTTCTGTTTTTCATTTTGGCAATTCCAAAATTTCATTTTGGCATATGCTTTAGTGCTGTCCAGTCACTAAAGCATATGACCAAAGTCCGGGCCTGCAAGCCACATTTTGCATAATGTTTACCACAGCTCACGGTCCCAGGCCAGGACACTGGACAGCACGGAGGAGGGAGGGGCAGGCCCGTCCGCATGGCCCCGCCCCTGCCCCTCTCCTCCCCCCTTGCCCCTATGGCCACCTCCCCTTACCCTGTGGACATGTAGTAAAAGAGGGTATAAAACTTACCCGTTTTATTTTTTCTATTTTAACAGAGCAGATGAAAATCTGTCCCCTCACTCTGAATCTTTTTTACTGTGTTTTATAGAGGTACCTTCTTTTTTCTTTTTATTTGCCCCTTTGCTCCTCGTGGAGCTTTTTCCCTTCCAAATACAAACACTGGATTCACATGACCAAACCGGGTCAGGTGGTAGCAGGGCTGCGCACACTCAGCGTTGTGTGTGTTTTCCTCAGTGACAGGGATTCACCTGGGCCCAGCCACAGCCCTTGTGACTTTTCTCTCACACCCATGAATTTTCCAGTTGCTGGTCCGGGGCCAGAGGGTGGAGTTGGTAGCCACGGAGCAGAGAAAACGTGGTTGGCTCCTCCTCAGATCCCAGCTTCAGCAACAGCGAGTTGCAAGCCAATTGAGCTAACTGGGTACACTTGTTAGAAGAAAGATTGTGCCTTTGTGGAGAATTATGCCAAAATTTCTGCTTCAACCCCCAGCAACAGATTCTTTGGGGTGTCTTAAAAGGCCATTTGGGGAATGGACTTACATGCAGCAAATAGAATTTCGGTTAAATGGTTACATTTGTTTCCCAAAGTGTATCAGAGGGAAGCCAAGCTCTTCAGAGAATGTGTTCATTAAAGATTTGAAGTGGGGTGGGAAGCGATAAAAAAAAGGCCAGTGGGTTCTCTTGTGAGATAGTGTTTTGTTCCTATGAATTGAATACACTCTCTGAAAAGTTTCAAAAAGGGACTGGGAAGAATGTATTTGCTTTGATCCAACATGTGGAGTGTTCCCTACTCCAAATGCCCTTTAATTTAGAAACATTGTTGAAAAGTCTACTGGAAGGTACATACAAATATAATATGTAAATAAGCTCTAATTAGTTATTTCAATTAATTATATTTTGTTTCTGCTTTGCAGCTCTATTTTTCTCCCCATACCATTGCTTGTCAGAGGACAACTTTGGCACCCTCCAAAAAAAAGTGTTTTTCTAACAGTAATTATTAAGAAAACACATTTTCCCCTCTCTTGAAAACTTTATAATGATAGTGAAATCCCAGACTGTGTATCTTTATAAGGAACTGTTTCAGACATTTTTAGTCTGTGATTTGCTAGTATAATATTAAAGAAGGAAATCTGGCAGTTAATTGAAAGAATGGGTGTTTCCTTCTTCAAATAAATGGTATGTGTTGTTTTTATAAAGTGAACCTACATCAAGCTACCAGCTAGCCTCTAATCTTCTTTCCCAACCATCCTATGTTCTTGTAATGATAAATATATTGGATTTGAAGATTAAAAGTTTTATTTCTTTGTAAGTCAAATAAGATTCTTCTCAGCGGGGACAATGAATGCTCTGGAAAAACACTGGTAAAATGAACTCAGGTTGTTTCTACATAGTAAATTTTTGGAAATAGACAGAACCTGAAATGTTGATTTTGGCAGCCTAGAAAATAAACTATGTGACAAATTACGAGCTTTTCAATGAGCTCATGATTTGTACGCCCTCTGCACTTTACTTGAATAGAAGTGGAAATGCAGGGCTTGAAGGGACTTTTGAGTCACCTAGAAATCAGGGAGCAGTGCCCCGCTTTGACACACCTCAGATCCTCGTGGTGGTTGGGTAGAAATGCCAGTTCCTAGGCCTTACCCCAGAGCTACAGAATCGGTGTCTCTGGGGGTGGGGAGTCTACGCTTTTCACAAACATCTCTAGAAAATCCTCATGCTCACTGAATTTGGCAAACCACCAATGTAGGCTAACCCATTAATTCTGCGGTGAGGAAAGCAGGCCTGGAGAGTTGACGGGTCAGACCTAACTGTACCCCAGGCGAGAACAGGCTTCCCGACTCTCGGCTTGTGCTTTTCTCCACGCCTCGAATCCAAAACAGTCCTGCGTAGGCAGATAGGTCGACACCTACTTCTGTTATTAGGGGCGGTTTCAGCACCCAGAGCAGGAGAGCATGATTCTGAATAAGGTGTGAAGGTGAACACACCCCAGGACTAGAGAGGTTGGAGTGTTTGTGCTGGTGCTCCTGCCTACACACTAAAACCTGAGTGGACCTGAGCCATGCTGTCTCAGCCTTTCCCTCTCTTATTAGCCTGGAGACCTCTGCAAACAGGTGAAGATGTTTAGCTCGTTTGTTAGCACATGTAGGTGAACCCCCAGAATGCTAGGCTTTGGACCTGTGTGCCTGGTTGATATACACATCTGTAGGTTATATCCTTTCTTAAAGTGCACACTTGTGTATTTTAATAGTGCCTAGAAAATTATAATAAAGGGATTAAAAAGTGCAGGCTGATATACCCAGTAGTACCTACTGCAGCAGATGTAAATATCCAGCAAATGCTTACTAACATGTATTATATCCATCAAATAACCAAAAAGCTAAAATAATCTAAATGTATTTTTGCAGTATTCTGCAATGAGAGTTTCAGCTGTAAGGATGGTTCTGAATTTTTACAAGATCATGATTACTTTCTAAATCATTAGGAAAGATTGAATTCTACCCATTGTCATTTCAGCATTGAGTTATTTGACGGCCTATTAATTTTTGGAAACTGCAATAGCCCAGTGTCTAGAATATGTCAAGATCCACTCAACTCTTTTTCAAACTCCATGTATGGACACAAGTGTAATGTATAAATCTTAGTACAGACAACACATTTTCACAGGGAAATTAACAAAAGTACCCTGTTGCAAGAGGCAGTTGACTGGGTTAGGAGGGTCAATTCTAGAATAGCTATGGGAAATTAAAATCTCTTTATATGCAAGTGGCTGGATGTGTGCTAAATAATACTCAGTTTATCATCCCTTCAACGTAAACAGTTGTTGATGGTCTGCTATATGCAAAGCTTTGTATGAAGTGCTGAGGATAAAAAACAGATCTGAAAAGATAATAGTGTGGTTCTGGCTGTACAAACACATAAAAAGGCCTGCGCGTGTAAGGAGACCTGTGCTAAATGCCGGACCAGCAGTGTGGCCGGGGAGTGCCACCGACAGCACCCACGCTCACAGCCTGGTGACTGGGACGGCCCCTCCTGCGCGTCCAGCAGGGGCAGCACTGAGTTTGGTTCCTCCCTGCCTTTCACACGTACCTCACCCTGCGGCCAATCTGGAGAACAGGGACCTGCTAGGGTTTTGTTGCTGCTCAATAGTAAAGAAATAGCTCTTTTAGGAAGGAAGAGTATCGAGCTCTTGAAGCATAATACCAACACATTTAGTTTCTGTCTCTCAGTACCTCCCATATTTAAAAGCAGTAGGATCTCATTCTCTTTGTGGTGGATGCACTGTGGAACTGCTTGATTACTCATGCTGTTTCGTTTCTAATGAAAATGCAAGTTCTGTGAGTTTTGTGATCCTTTTATTCTGCAGTTCATGTGAATCAGTATCTTCTTAGGTTGGCAATTTGCTAAGTGTGTTTTAGCGCTTTCTAATGGAAATGGGGTACAATGCTGATCATTATATCATTATTATTAATGGTAGTAGTAATTTATTTTGTACCCATATCACAAAACAGACTATGAGATTTCTTTGATAAATGTAGTTCTTAGTACCCAGCCATGGAATGGGCCATATGGAAGGATTTCTAAAATGAAAGTTGTAAATCAAAAATGTCAAGAAAGTGCTGCTGTTTATATAATCATGATTCCCACCTGTCTGGATTTTGTTGGATTGCCTGGGACAGAGTTCTCTACTCATCGGCAGAAGGTAGCTCCTCCATCTAAAGAACACTAGTACTTTCTTGGTGGCAGAGCCGTGGTCATCACCAGGTTCCCTGACAGTACCAGGACAGCACTCACAGACCATGGACTTCCTTGGACACAAACAGGGCCTTCGCAATGACTTGTAGGCAACCAGTGGTCTTGAGTAATCATTAGGATGCGGCAAAGTAGAGGTCAGAGAAGAGGACCATGTGTAAAGAGAACTAGTGTGTACCAAGATACGGAGGGTGAAGTGGGCACACTGTGTTTATTCGGGAAACAGTGTGGAGAGTTCTCTGACTGGAATAAAGAGGTTACATTCCCACTGGAGAGTAGTAGGAATGGGTGGTTGGAAAGGGGAGATGGGGCCAATCAAAGGACACACTTCTTTCATTGACTTTGGAAGTGAAGCTACATACCAGTTTTTAGGGTTATTTTAGAGTCACACAAGCTCAGAGCCCAGTCCAGCTCTGCCCCTTGTTGACTGGGCAACCTCAAGACAAAATACCTAACGTGGCTACAGCCTTAGTCTACTCATCTGTGAAACGGCTGGTAACATCTCTCAGAGAGCTGTGTGGCTCCTGTGCCATCCTCTGTGAGAAGCCCCAGCAGAGCGCCTTGTGGACACAGTGTCTGAGGAGGGAAGCGAGGAGATAAAAGTGGGCTTGTGGGGAGACTGGTCTGTGGCAGCCGGTGCTGAAGCGCTGAAGTCAGGAGAGGCGGAAATGGGACCAGGGGAAGCTGCTGGGGAGGAAGGGGGACGCAGGTATCCATACATGGGTTCTCCGTGATTTCTTTCCCATTGTGGAATTGTGTTTAAATCCAGGGTTGTATAGCCTTGTCCTGTGCTGTACGGTACAATAACCACAGACTTTTGTGTTTGCTTTGAACAGGATGCCAGCGGTCCATAGGCCTTTCCAACGGCAAGGCCAAGGTGTGCAATTACAGCGGCTGGTATTACTGCGGCAGCTGCCACGTGGACGACAGCTTCCTCATCCCAGCACGCGTAGTCCACAACTGGGACACTTCGAAATACAAGGTAGGCCAGAAGCTGGGTTCACATGCCGTCACGGGCATAAGACCGTGAAGCACACTTGACTAGGTAGTCTCTTAAAAGCTACAAGATCTTTTCCCACTTTCTGTTGATTGTGTTATTTTCCTCCCGTCTGTGGTTGTAACTACCAGGACTCCTGTGCTGATGATCCCCACTTTTCTCTCCAGCTTCAGTTTTGCTCCTGAAAGTGAGATCTGTGGAGTTAATTGCCTAATGGACACCTCCACTTCAGTTTTCAACCTAGTTGTCTTCGGGATATGGGGATTGGTTAGCTACATTGTACAGCGTTTCCACTCTTGCATAAACCAGGAACTAGACATTGGCAGGCGAGGAATCTAACCCTGCAATGGGGTGGTACTTTAGGCTTAGGGTTCTTTTTCGGTCCTGTGCCTGCCACACAATAGAGAACTCTGTCACCTGATCTGACGAGAGCCCTTCTGATCCTTCTGCCTGAATATTGTCACATCCGTTTTGAATGACCCTTCCATGCAGGTGCTGTGAACAAAAACAGGCTGTATAATAGTTGGGGTTTTTTTTTTGCCTCCTGGCTACTAGATGTCTGAGACTTGTTTTCACTGTAGCTGTACATCACCGGGGACCGAGGGTAGGTGGAGCGGAGATGATGGCTGTGGCCCACCTGTAATCTTTGAAGTTGTAGACGAACACAGAAATTGTGAGTGATCAGTTGGCTCGCATCCCCGGGCAGCGCTGCCTCCTTTTCTCCTTAGTAACCATCTGCATCTTCACTGTCTTCAAGAGGCCTCATCCTAATCCTTAGTTTATGACCTTGCCTCCTTCAGGAGAAAACTGAAGCTACGAGATCTGAATATGAATACCTACACATCCCGTGGGTGCTCAGCCTCAGTATGCCCCCCAAGTGGGCTTTCTCACCCTCACCCAGTGCGCATGGCTCCACCAGTCAGCACTGCCGGGGCTGGGAGGACCCCTGGTCTGCCTAATCAGCTAGCAGGAATCAACTGTGGAACTTGAGCTCTTGCGGTCATGCTGTGCACTGTACCCATGGCTCTACCACCCAAACTTGAACCCTCAGCATCACTCATGTGAAGGAACTCAGTAGCTTCCTACCTGTGCTTCCTGCCTTCAAGTCTTGCCCTAGCAATATTCCAAAAAAGTTATAATTTGTACCGACAATGTTTCAAAGAAGTTCTAATTTGCCCCCCAAAAATTTGTTCAAAAGAAGTCCTAAACTCACCTTAGGTAAATTTTGTCCCCTCCTCAGTCTCAGTGAGGAGGGGACAAAATTTTTGTCCTTCACATTCTGAGTGAAGATAATAATAATACCTATTTTATAAGGTTGCTCTTTGCTTAAATAAATGATTCACAGAAAGCACCTAGTACAGTGCCTGGTGTATAGTAAGTGCTCAGTTAATGGCTGCTTTTACCCTGTTTGTACCTAAGGTAAACACAAATCTCTTAGCTTGGCATAAAGACCTTCGTGATCTTTAGTCCCTGCCTTTCTAGCTCCTTCATCCACTATGTCCCTGCCCCCATGAGTCTTCTCAGTAAGATCACACTCCTCCTCTTCCCCAGTTTGCCACGCCATTTCACACCTTTCTTCCTCTTGCCCTCGTTCTGAATGGCACCTCCTAAACCCAGCTGAAACCTCATTTCCTCTCCTGATTCTTTCCTTCCCCTCTACCACGCACAGTTATCATCCTCTCCTCTGCATCTTGTACTTGACACTCTGAATAAGGCTATAAATATATTTGCCATGTGTGCATTAGATAAAAACTTATTTAGAGGGAAAGAGCACCAGTTGGATTTGGCTTAGACAGTTTAGATTAATCTGCTTGGAGCGGGGCTTTGACAGCTGTGAGAGGTGTATAAGAGCGTGTCAGTGAGGCGGTCCCAGCCCCATAATCGTTGAGGGCTTAGGCCGGTGGCACCTGCCAGCAGCGTATATGCCAGTCAGGGGAGCTAAAGCAGAAAAGGTGTCACTGAATGAGGGAAATGAGAAACTGGGGCATAGTTTATGAAGATGTGAAATGAAGGCAGCAGTCAAGTCTGTCTGCAGTGAGCTGTAGAGGCCACCCACACCGTCTGCCGTCAGTTTAGTTGTCAGTGACCTGAGGTCTTGCTACGTGGCAGGCCTTTTCCCATGGCGGTCATTCAAATGGCAGGGTCTGATTCTCAGAGGAGAGTAACTAATGGACGCTATCGGGTACCCCCACTTCATCCATGTTGCACGTGAGCAAAATGTCCTCTGTCAGACCAGCCCTTCTTGGGATGTCAGTGGACAAGAGCAGATTTTAAAGCAAAACCAGAGCTGGTCGACTTTATCTGGATCATCTCGCACGGGCATTAAGTAACTGCAGTGTATTCCATTTAGTGCAGTGTCTGTCTGTCTTTGCTCAAATGCAGGATTTAACTTAATGTTCCTAATTGTGAGGATCAATTCAGACCTATCAGTTTCCAAAACCAGACATCTTTCCGTGAGATCTGCCTGCTGTCCCTAATAGCAAGTACGTGACTGGCTTGCCTATCCATTTAAAAGAGTGAAAAAATGGTTTCTCGGAGCAGGATGAAATCTGTCATCTTAAGCGTTTCCTTGTCTGTCCTCTGGGGTAATAATAATCCTAATTATTTTTAAAGCAGGATTTCATCTATTTTCCGATGTACATCCTGCAAATTGAATTGAGCTCCAGGATTACCCGGCAGCTAAACCCTATCCTCAAATTCTATAGCCATTTTCTAATGAGATTCTCTTTGATAATAAGATACCCCCCGCCCCACGCACCATTATTCAAAATACTGAGCATGACAAAGAGGTGGTCAGAAACTCGGACTTAGCCTCAACTCTTCCTCACGGTTCCCCTCCATTGTGCTTTTGCAAAATATTTTTGTATCCTAGCCTGAATATTCACATTCCATTTAGCTGGGGGTTTTCCATGTTACATAAACCATTTCCTGTCTCTATTATCTTGAGAGGCATTCAAGGCAGACTCTATTGCCCTTGCAGAGCTGGAGAGCCGTTCGCTGAGGGGGAAACCACTTGTTCACAGCCATTTGGAGATTTCGAGAACAAATTGTAATTAAACTTAAGATCTCCTGATTCCTCCTCCATTAGCCCACAGTAGCTGTTTTAACAGGACCAAGAGGTATTGTGGTTGGAGTTGGTCTCATTAAGGCTTTCGCCATGGTTTTTCGGAGTTGGGAAAAAGTACTGGGAGAGAACCTTATGCCAAAGCAATAAGTGGTTATTTGACTGTGGTAAGATAATGGGTGATCATTTTTTTCCTTTTTCAGTTTTTATTCTCCAAGTTTTCAGTCATGTAATACTATTTTTATTATTTTGTAAATTTTAACCGTCACTTAGCTCCATATATTCTGTTTAAGAAAATATGTATTAGAAATTAATGTTTTTTAATGCCTCAGAATTATTATTACAATTGTTCTGTCCTGTGATGGAAAACTTCACTGTGCATTAATGTGGTGTGAGAGGCTATTTTGCTGTAAAGAAATTGCCTCGTGGTGGTATACATTGTGCTCTTCTATTTTGACTAAACTTCCAGAAGTTTCAGAAGGTACAAAGCGCATAGAGACCTAGATAATTTCCCTCTTTCTCCTACCCACTCTGTTCTTCTTGCCTCAGGCAAGTGGATTACACAAATGTGGCTTTTATGCAGATATGGCAATATGTGATGTAGCATATGGGCTCCTCTTAGAGAACTTCCATTTAGACCATCAAACTCTTCCTTGGGCTTTTTAGAAAAATATACAGCTACTCCAGATTCCATCATGAATTTTACACATGCAAACACACCAGTTTATTCAACCTGACCTTTTGGGGGTTTTTTGATGGACATTAAGGTTTTCCCAGTCTTTTGCTCTGATAGGCGGTGATTCAATAAATAGCTTTATACGTCACTTTGAATATAAGTTCTCTTGTTTTGAGTGCGACTCCCTGCAGATCATTTTCTAGATGTAGGTGCGCGCCTCCACATAGATGGATATTGCCAAACTGCCCTCAGTCAGGCTGGTACACTGTACTGTTACCCTGTCTCCTTGCAGGTGCCCTTCTTCCCTTCGTACCAGGACATCAGCTGTCACATCTGTTGTCACTGTGCTGCCTCTCGGGTCCTTTCCCTTTTCTACTCTGTTACCTCTGAATAAGTTGTGAACTTGGAAACAAATAACCGAGCTGTTAGGAGTGTGTTTAAGGTAATGGTGTGTGGCTTGAAGTCACAGCCGTGAAAACTGTGAAGTACTTGTTCATTTGCTCAACAAGCATTTATTGAACAGAGACCGTGCTCACCATTCCAGGCTCTGGAGCACACACAGTCTCCGCCTCGAGAATTCCTCCTGAAGGAGGAAGACAGTAAACGAATACACCACTAAGAGACTTCTAGACCTATGAAGTGTGGCTGGACTTTAGTGTTTGTTTTAGACTGAAAATCAAACAGGAACCTGCATGCCAGTGTACCGCCTCGTTATACTACAGGTTAGTCTGTTCATAGCCAGCTTGCTTGCTGTTTGGGGAGGAAGGAAGGACAGGGACCACCTCTTTGAAAGAGTGAAGAGGAGACAGCTTATGGTAGAGTTATGGAAAAATAAAAAGAACTGTGAATGGAAACAGTGCTAAAAACCACAGAGTACCCAGAGATTGAAATTTTGGTTTTAATTCTGCCACAATAAGTCACCTAAGCTCTCTGGACTCAATTTTCTCTTCTAGATTAGGTCAGCACTTCTCAAAGTGCGGTCCATGGAACATTAACAAGCTCTGTGCATGTTAACAGTAGTTACTCAGAAAGGGGGTCCCACAGTTGGGCCACAGGGAGGTCATCTTTATAATCTGATTAGGGCCCCTCCAGGAGAACACAGCCCCAGGAGTTCACAGCTTGGCAAGAGAATGGACGGAGTTAGACAGAGATGCCCCTTCCTCCCACTGGTAGTGGAGCCCAGGCTGGATTTCATCTCTCTCCACGCCCTCTGCCCCGATACAGCCGGTACCACGGTAAACAGCT